CATTAGATTTTAGTTCTCAGAACAAAATTGGTTTCATAATCTTCCTTGCCAAAAGGAGCAATCTCACTTGTATATGGAAGTTCAAAAAGACTGTGACCAGGACCATGCTATCTGAAGCCATCTAGGCCTTCACTTATCTCCTCTCAACTGGAATGAAAAAAACCCTTGAATCTCACCCTCAAACATTTTTGCATTCAGACAGAAACCTATCCTACTTATCTTTCTGGCAATTGCTAGAGACTTGCAAATCTGCATTACACAAACACTAAATTCAAGTCAAGTATGTACATGCAAGCTTCCTTGTTTGCTGAGAAAGAAAGCGATAACACCTTAATTAGAACAGAAAACGGCTGATGAACACAAGAAGCAAGTTACAACTTAGTGTTTGCAATTCATCATAGTGCCTCCAACACCACTGAGTCTTTTAATTGCACCCCCCGTCCCTTTTTTTTTTCTCCCAAGACATGACAAATTACTTCTCTATTTTGGAAAAAGTATCTAAATGCATTCATACTGAAAGCAGAGGCCTGAGAAGGAGAAATGCTGGGAACACATGGATGTACAAATGCTCAGTGCTGCTCCTCCTGCCTCTTGAGTGGGAATGTGCCACTGCCAACAGTGCTACCATTCAGAATAAAAAGGGTTAAATTGAGGGGGAAGTGGAAGCACCATCATGCTTCCTTAAACATCCATCAAAATGCAGGTCCTGCCTGCATGCTATACAGGCTGCACTGAATCTACTGCCTGAGCTTATGGATAGATCTAGCTCAACTGAAGAAAAGCTTTGCTTCTCATCTACTCTGCTTTGCTGTTAAAGATGAGGAAAACACTCACAATGACAAGCTTAGAAAGATAAGCAGCATACTTACTGAAGTGAACAGAGTAATACATCTAAGGCCTAGAGTTGTTCACAGTCCTGACTGCACAGAAAGTCTGTTAAAACCACAAGGGGATAAAAAAAGAGAAAGCTGGGGCCTCTCACTTCAGGAAAAAAAATAAATTTAAGATGTCCAGATGTCCAGACTTCCATATCCTCTGTCAAACAAATATCTATTATAATTTCAGTTTCAACTGCAAACCTCATTTTTATTTTCAATAAACAGTTGCAAAGTAAAAAGAAAGTTTCAAAGATTTCCACAGTCATTTTCTCCTTTTAAAGCATCCAGAGATTCAAGAGAAATTAAAATGAAATAAATTTAAATGATTACAGAAATATTTTAATATCATATGCTTTGTGTCAGAAGTATCGCACTGGCAGATTTAATAAAGCAGCACTTTTATAATTTCTTTCTTCCATTGGCGCACAAAACATCACAACATTCTTCAGATGTCAGAATAAAGAAGAAATACAATAAACAGTAATGAACTCTCAGAAGGAATCTATTCATAGCATTCCCACTCAAAGGAAAAATAACTCCCTCGAAGACAGGCTATCAGGAAGTCCTTAGTGGTTAATACACAAAAATAAAGAAGAGGGAAAAAAGAAAAGAGCAATACCTTCCATAGGAAAAACTGTGATTAAATTTGAGTATTTAATGAAACCAATTTACAAAAAAGACCTGAGAAACAACACTAGGAAACAATAGTTAATTTATCCTAACAACTTGCAAGCATAAATGCCAACTGTATATAATTTGTAAAAATACACAGTAATGAATCTTACATGATAAAGTATCTTACTTCATATTCCTAATGAACAAGTACAGCAGAACACTCTTACTAATCGCATTTCTCTGGGAAGTTATTCTGCACAGATAATGTGACATTTCTGAACCCACAGACCTTTTCTACAAGCTCTACCACAATCTTTGTATATGGCTTCTGTGGCTATGAGAAATTGCTCCAACTGGTCAGAAAACTCTTTCCTAGATGGCCAAGGGAATTGCTGTATTAACAGTGGGAAAGAACATACAACTGTGTGACTACACAGATAATTATTAAACAAACCATTGGGACAAATAGAGAGGCTAATATACACAGCACTTATTTTTCTGGATCAGTCTTTGTTTGCAAATCTACATCATAATTGGTACATATTATCAGAACTAATTTCTACGCCCTCTACTGGCTACCTCATCCTACAGCCAAAAAATGATCCTGCTAGTGCTTCAGCTCAACAAACTTGAAACCTAATTACACAGTCAAAGAGAACAGTCATACACATCCAAAAGTGAACACATCAGGTTGCAAGTGGCTATTTCTAAACGTTCTCTTTATTTGCTTAAATATAAGAATGGAAATAAAAGCAACTTCCCTATCATATTAGCTTGTTTTATGTGTCTCCTTCACAGAAATTCCATTTTGTCAGATTTAGAAATACTATTAAACATCATAAATTTTGAATTGTTGTAGTTAAGCACTGCTAATTGCATTCTGAATCACAGCTTGCTTTTTTTTCCTTCTCATACCAAATTTCTGGGCAGCCTGGTCTGGTGGTTAGCAACCCTGCACATAGAAGGGGGGTTGAAACTAGATGATCACTGTGACACTTTTCAACCCAAGCCATTCTATGATTTCATCAACCACCAAGCTGTGCAGCAGTTTATAATCACAGAACAACTTGGTTTGGGAAGCAGGGTTTGGCAGCTCCCCAGATCCAACTTCCCCTGCAGCAGGGCTGGATGCACGCCTGGGTCAGACTGTCATCATCCCACAACTCCAGCTATGCAGCCTCTCATTCCAGTGCTTAAACACCCTTACGATGGCAAGCTTTGTATGACATACGTAAAACATACATTAGATCCAAAGCAAAAGGAATTCAACATCCAAATATAAACAAACAGCAAATTTTTACAATCAAGAAGGTCTTTAGAAAAGATCACATGATCTATGGCAATTACTACTAATCACAAGCAGAGTATATACTGGGCAATGCAAATGTAACTAGCAGCTTAAATCACCTGAAAGAAACAAAGCCCAACTTTATTATGAATTCCAAGATTATAATACCTGTAACTCTTCTGTATTTCATCTGAAGCTGACAAAATATACATGAGATACCCATCTCAAATACTGGATCCTCTGACTCATTACATGAAGCTCAAATATCAGTATATCTACACATTTTTTGATCAACACTACTGGAAAAATAATTTAATACATATTTTAAATGTCAGGTTCTGACAAAAAATAGTTTAAACGGTCTTTAATTGTAGTTACTTGCAGTAAACATCAGCATTAGTATAAATTACTTTCAATTAGTAGGAATAGTGACAAATTTCTTTTACTTTGCTCAGTATTTTTTTAAACAGGTTTTAATTATGTAAGTTGATAGGACAAACTTCTACTGTTATATACAGACTAGAAAAGTAAACCCTTAGTGCCCTCTACAACTACTATCTTCAGAACTGATTCTGAATATTATCTGAAAATATTCAGAGCTGGAAATCTGTGACAAAGAGCACTACTGCCCCCTATTGAGCCAACCCCACAAAAGCACTTCTACAACAGCATTTTCCTTTACATTTGAAAAAAAATGACATTATTCTAACCATGAGTAATTTTATAAAAAAGGTTTGTGCAAAATGAAGACAATCATTATGAACCTGTACACTAAGCTCATGCAAATCTTTTGTTCAAAAGACACATATGTAAGTCTAGGGAGAAAAATGAAAATAAGTACCTAATACTACAGATTTCCAGATAATTTAATACTCAGTACACAGAAGCATCACAGTGATACCAAATACTGCACAAAAATCAATCATCTTCAGCTCTTCTGCTTATGAGTACATATTATCCAATTTTAAACTTGCTTTCTATCAGAATGTAATCAATCACCCAAAACAAAATCAACAGTTACCCTCAAAACAGATACATCAAAATTTTAGTGTCTGAAACATATTTTATCAGCAAGATGCTCTTCATATTGCACTGGTCTGTCTAAAAGCCAGGTACAAGCCTACTTTAGGCTTGTAATTACTGAAGATTAACTCTGACATAAGTATCTAACTCACAAAATAAATCAAATAAAAAAATCCACTTGCCAAATTCTGTTTGTAAAGAAAATAATGAACTATCTCTGTCACATCTTGGAATGGAAACCACATCTTTCTCGTGTTGTTATAATTACAGTCACAGACTTGAATATCTATCTCCTCGGTGCAGCTTGAACATAAAATATTGCTTGGTTCCTGGATGTACTTTTCAAAAAAAAAAAAAAAACAGACTGCAGTAAACTCTATTGAAAGTCCTGACAAAAAGCACAAATACAAGCTGTATTCTCTTGTATCCTATCACACATCAGGAATTCCATTGCATTTGTAAAATTACCTCAATTTAAATGCAGCACAAAAGCTGAAGTTCTGATTCTTCTTCTCTTTTGTACTGACTGTTTCATTGCTTAACAGTCAGAGACACCACAGAAGGCTCCAATTTATGTACCTTAGCAAGATAAGGTAAATAAATGTTTATGTGCTAAGTAATATATGACATAGCTTTATAAATAAAGCTTCATTCATTGTTTTTGACACTGAAACACCACAAATTACTAAAAATTTTGAATATAAGGCTTTACTTTACAATCTCCAAACATTGGCTTTCTGTGGCTTTGGACCACTGTCATCATTCATATAAAAACATTATTAGCAAAAAAAGGCTAGGAGTGACAAGTGGTATCTTAAGTGACTAGACACAGTATAGTGCAGCAAGAAGCTGAGCAGCAATTCCAAGGAGTATCAATCACAAGTTGAATCTAGGTATCTAGTAATATATTTTACAGATCCAATATAGCCATGTTTCATAACATTTTTCCATGATGTCACAGCCCACAGTTGCTAACACAGCTGTAAGCTCCACAATCTACTTAATGTATATGCTATTACATCAGCACTTCACAACTCCATTTGCTTAATCATTTAAGAGGTTATTTCAGAAACTATAAATATGAAAACACTGGAGAGAGACTAATTATTACAAGAGTTCCAACTGATTCCTCAAAACTTCTAACATAAAGTCGTCATCACAGTTCATTCCAACTTTGTCAAAAACATTTGTCCTACCTTTGAATCTTCATTGCTCACACCCAGCTCCAGCACAGCTTGAGGAGATTTCAGCTTTGCTTGCATGGATGCAGACATTTGAAGATTAAGCTGCCAACCAATTGTTTCAAGCTATAAAACACAAACGTAGATTAGAATCATATAGTACAGAAGCACAGGGAGGTCAATTTATAGCATCCATCAATGGTTTGTCAGTGAAAGTCACGCTCTAGAAGTAAGTATTAAGCACTCTTATAGAATACACATCCTGCAAATTCTCCAGGACTCCAAGTAGTGTTTGCTTCTACCTCTTGCGAAACTTATCAGTTAAAGCTACCTGTGGCCTTCACAAATAAAAATAACTTCAAATATCTTAGATGTGCTGGAACTAATCCATAAAACAAAATGAAGTATCCAAACTAAGATGCATTCTTCCTTGCAAAGTTGATCTGAGTAGAAGATTCAATTTCATATTTTCTTCTATTTTACAGAAAATTAATAAATTTCCAGTAACTTGTTAACTACCTAAAAATGGTAATCTCTTAACCAACAGATCTATTGCATATGCTACCACATATGGAAGTTTACAGCAAAAATAATTCTGGGCTGCTTTTTAACATGATTCTACCAAAAAGCTAAGAAGCTGAGTAAGTGCACATCAGCATTTGAATAGAAAGCCCCTCAAAAAACACATTCCAAAACACTTTAAATGAAATACATCTTCAAACAAAAGTGACACTCAAAAATTATTGAGTTATAGCGCACACAAAGCATATATGAACAGAACTACAAGCTTACCAGAAATAATCTACCTAGCCTTCTTGAATCTTCAAAAGTAGAATACAAAGTCTTACAACCTGGCAAGTTAATCGACATACAAGTTTTTTAGTCTACTCTCCCCTTTCTGCTAGTAAATACTGCAGCTCACTTTTATTGTTACTAAGACAGCCACTTTTGTTAAACCCCAATATACAGCCTTTCCAGCCCAATATACAGTACGTGCCCTGTTCTCTGCAGTGACAGTAATCTCTAGACGAAAGACAGGACAGAAAATGAAAGGCAGCACAGTGGTCTGAGTTCACAGCTAGCAGCCATAACTCCCTTTCTGTTACTGCTTTTCTTTACCATCACTTTGTTTCCCATAGCCATTTTTATTTCTGTTTTAAAAACAGTTGCAGAAAAACAGGTTCTGATTAACAGATAATATGCTGCCTAAAATTTCAAAATGGCCTTCCTATATACTTTCTTGAAATATAAATGCAATGTGTATTTGACTGTGGTCACGATTACTTAGACATTCAGCATTCTGAAATGTCAATTAATCTTGTGAGAGCAGGGACATGTTGCCACATGATATTTATGTCAAGGCACAGTATTTGGATGCCACGAAGTACATATTTTAAGGGCAATTTTGTCAAAAGATGAAAGGAATTTAAATTTATTTTCATTTCTAATACAAAACCACATAAAACAAATACTGGGAGAGATTATAAAGTCCCAGCATCTTAGATAACACTGACACTTATTATGCAAAAAGTATGTACTAGGGGTGAACAATTTCTTCAGAACTAGCAGGGAATTAAAATTATGTTTTTAGCTTTTTCTTTTCATAATTTCTATGCAGCTATTTAGAAATATGCAAGCTATCTTGTCGCTGCAACATTAAACACTGTTGAAAATGCACCATTTCGCTCTGTAAGCTCTCATTTGGTATCTCTTGACAATTATTTAATCAGAAGGTTGTGTTCAGGAAACAAAAAGCAGGTGCAGGCTGGAAAACAAGGAAGGGGAAAAAAAAAAAGGTAGATAGTAAATAAAAACATGAGTAAGCACAAATGAAAATCTTTCAGATCCACCCCATAAACACCATTGCAAAAGATTCAGAGCAACAAAGATATAACAATGCTTCCCACTTGTATTTCTTTTCTGTCTGGGCTTCTGAAGACACCATAACAGACAAGACTAATGAGTACAGAAGAATTTAGGAACACCCTCCCCTCCAGTGGTTAGTATTAGCCACAAAAAAAGCTCAACAAGCAGTGCACTCCCTATTGACATACTGCTTCTCTAAGGCCACCTATGCCTGTGCCAAGGACAGATCCACAACAGCTAGCTGTCAGCTACTGAATGTAAGAGCATCTGACTCTTCATCTTTTATTTCTGACTGCCCACACACATTTCTACAAATGAAAATTGAAACAAAGAAGAAATTCAAGTGATCTGATAAATATAACAAGTTTCTACATTGGCTGTCTAAACTGAAAATACTTTTATGGTAGTATCTTCAACTATTTAATGATAAATAAAATAGATGTTCACTGGCAAAAGATTTCAGACTAAGGATATCAAGGAGAAAACAACCCACTTTGCAAAAAATAGTCTATCAGAATCAATGCCTTTAGATTGAGAAAGCAATATTCAAAATAGGCACACTCTAGGGCAACAACTTCAGAACTGAGAACTGAAGAAAGGAGACTAACAAACAACCTCACTGTGAAAGAACAACATTGTTAAGGACTTTAATTTGGGAAAGGAATGTAAGTGGAAGTAATGAGAAAAAAAAAAAAGGGAGAACTTGAAGTGTCGTAGAATTAGAGAACACAATGATCTGAAGATCATCCCTGTATTTCCAATTTCTGCCATTCTAAACTTGTGGAGTGGAGCCAGTATTTGTAAGGATGGAGTGCATAAAGCTGTTTGAATTAGGGAGAATTTCAGGGAGAAAAGAGGATATTTTTCAATTTTAAGCTTTTGAGATATCCTGAAATAACTTCTCCTGCCTTCCTCTACACCCACAAAGACTTCTAATTTGAAACGGGAAACTTGAATTTTTATATAAATTACTTGCTTCTAGAGGGTGAAGCTTTCAGAAGGTCACACAATATCGTAACAAATAGTTATGGAAATGACAAAAAAACCCAGCACTTCTACCATCAAAACTCACTGATGTGGCACAAACACTTCACTTCTTGGCATTGCTGCCCAAAGGTTCCTCGCATTACTCCTGGTAATGTTTAAAAGTCAACTACGTGACTGTTCAGTAATTTCGGTGCTGTGATATTTGAAGGATCCATATTGAACACTGCTCTCCACTGCTATATGAAAGGAAGATCTTAATTGTTGGCTCTTAGTTTTTGTTTGATTTTTTTTTAAAAGAACAACCAAAACTCTCAACAACATGTGCCTTTCAAGATAGCAAACAATTTTCATTAGCCTAAAGCTGTCAAGGGCCTCTCAAAAACTTGAGTGATTTGTATTGATGAGAATTTTAAAACAAATTGTTCTTGCTGTCCGCAGTAAGAATCAAGAGCCAGTAAGAGCAACCTTTAAAGTAACTGATCACACTGTTGAGACTGAGAAGAAAGGTGTACTAACAAAACTGTAGTGTGATGCTACGCCTTATTCATCCAGTTCATAATGCACCAACCAGTACAGGCCAATCAGCTTCTAGTAATATCGTTACTAACCTGAGCATAACTGAAAATAAACCTTGATTTTCTTTCTGAAAAACCAAGTCTTGGCACAGATCTGAGCATCATGTCTCCTTACACTGAGTCAATACTCAGCCCATTCAGTGTAGTTTACGTGTATTGTTTCCCCCCCCCCCCCAGACAAGGTGATTAATTTGAGGACAGGCTAAAGCAGTGCAATTGGCTTCATTTCCATGAGTTTTTGATGGTTTGACTTGTTTTTGGTGAGGGATGTGGTGCTTTTTGTTTTGTTTTAAAACACATCATAGAATGCCATAAAAACTTATTAGTGACTCATTCCTTAGAGGTATCACAGAAAATACTAATCTTCTATGGAACACAAACTACTGTAAAAAAAATAGGAAGGTTGAATTAATGCAGAAATTAGTTTCATGCTCCACTGGTAGAAAGCTCCACCTGTTTGATTTTCAAGCACTATAATCCTTATTTTGAGAAGTCTGTTCCAAATGATATAATATTTCACGCCTTAGATATTACTGAATAGGAGATTACGCCTTTTGTATCCTAAAGGAGAAGGTGCTCTTGCTTGTTTTTATACAGCTTTTTCCATTCAAAGTCAAATCAATACACAAGTAATATTAGTATTTTTCAGAGTGTACTCTACTCATCTATGTCTACCAAATGTAGTACATCCATAACAGCATTACATCAGTTTATGCACAGCAACTTCACTACATCAGTGCTAGAACACTCTAATTTAAAGTCTATTGTAATAAAGTCTAGAGTAAATACAGATAATTTAAAATTGCAAACTCTAAGCTTCAACTGTTATATTGTTAGGAATACGTAACCAATACTATTTGAAAGTGGGTGATTTATAGCTCAGAAATAAGCAATCTAAAGAAGAAAACCCACCCTCCAATTTCAGAGAAGCAGTAAAAGTACACACCAGAAGTATCCAAATGGAAAAAAAAATAGTTGACTGACTCTTCTGCCTAGCAGAAGAATAGATGCAAAAAACTTCTGGCGGTAAAATGAAGTCAGGCAGATTTTAACAGTTATAAGGCCTATTTTTATTAGCCACAAAGATACACCAGAAATTACCTGTCATTTCATGCCCTGAAATCAGAACCAGACCATCTTTTTCAAGAATTTTTACATACTAAAAGAAAAAATTAGTCTGCATTACACAAGATGCTAAATGAGATCAGCATAGCATTTCATTTAAACTTAAAATGGCTATTTTGTGCACAGAAATAGAACAATTGTTTCAGATGTTTTTAAATCTTCTCAAAATGGTATCTCCTATCCCTTATAATTTGCACTTACTTGGTAGAGAAAAGAAGAGGGTAAGAAAGATAGCAAAACCTCATTAAAAAATTTTTAGCAGCAGCTAAAAAACTGTACATTATTAAAGTACCTAATAACACTGTAAGATGAGCGGAAGATTAAAGAAACTCAGCTGTGCTGTAGCATCTTTCAAAATAAATCTCAGAAGGTATAAAACTGAGTCTTTATTCCATCTTTCATCATTTGAATTCTCTTTGCCACAATCTGTGATGGCATTGTATCACGCAAGTTGTCTCACAATTCATTGTGACAATACCCATAGGGACTACACTGCCTTGTGACCTCTGCTTGTCATTGTAAGAAGGATTAGAGGAGCAAAAATTAATCAGAACCTTATAGATGCCTTACTTC